TTTCTATTCTATTTTATCTGTAAAGACCCACCATGGATGACGGTGTATAAATTAACCTTAAGAGCTGACAAATGTGCCAATCCAGTAAGAGATTATGTAAAAAATAATCTCTGGAAACTGTCCGATTCTACTTTGGATACAGCACATGTATGTGAAGACTTAGCATTCCGAAAAAGAGATTAATGCTGGGAAAGGTGGAAGCAAAGAGAGGAAGAGGATGATGAAGATAGGGGTTTCTATTACTGTGACAATGATTGAAACGTTGTGCGTCCTGATAGAACAATTTATGGAGAAAAATCTGATTGCTAGGGAATTAAAAAAATAACTTGATGGCGCATAATCAGTCAATATGACAACTGTCATCACTTGGCCTCCAGGAGAACCTCAAGCCCTACAACCATTCTTCAGAGCACCTGTAATCCCACCTACAATATGCTGTATGGACAGATCTTCTCTATCCTGAATGGATTCAGATTTAGTTTGCTCCTTTCTGAGCTGCACTCGATACCAGGCTCAAGATCCATGACTTCTCCTGCATCCAGTGAGAAGGAATGCTGGATCTGATCCATAACATCCATGACATCTCCCTGCAAACTTCCAGGTGACCTTTTCCAGCAGTTTTATTTAGCAGCTGAATGCGCGCGAGAGAAGGTGAGTGCCCCTTGGGTCAAAAGTCCGTGCAGATACCCAGAGCCACCTTTTCGTATCAACTGACTGAAAGAGGATCCTGGAGAGACCTGATCCTATAACCCAGCCCTGCCAGATGTAGCAGAAAGATGCCATGGTTAATGGATCAAGCAACGCTGAGAAGCTCAGGTGACACAAGAATCCATGTCCCTCTTCCAACGTAGAGGCGTCCGAGAAACCATGGTGGATAATTCAGTTTCCACACTTGGCTGAAACCCCGAAGGAGAATCAATCTAATTAATGACCACATTTTGAAATTTGACCACCGCTGACCAGGGGATTTGGATGATGGATTTCTAAAACTCAATAAGCGGTCTGCTCCCGTGAAACAGCCCCAGGTGACCACCCGAAGTGAATTTCAATAATTATGTTAAATGGGTGACTCCTTGAACCACTTCTGAGGAGCATTTCACACCTCAAATGAATTTTTTCCACCGGGTCACACCGAGAAGGAAAGTGTAACCACCCAAGTTCTCTGATGAGATCTTCTATTAGTATGTGCTTGACCAATTTATGTTAGTCACAGTTTTAAGGTCCCTGCTTTTCAAAGATGTTGGTGCTTATATCATGGGCCAGTAAGATAAAGGTAAAGGTTCCCCTTGCACATATGTGCTAGTCGTTCCCGACTCTAGGGGACGGTGCTCGTCTCCTTTTCAAAGCCGAAGAGCCAGCACTGTCTGAAGACATCTCTGTGGTCATATGGCCGGCGTGACTAAGTGCCAAAGGCGCACAGAACGCTGTTACCTTCCCACCAAAGGTGGTCCCTATTTTTCTACTTGCATTTTTTACCTGCTTTTGAACTGCTAGGTTGGCAGAAGCTGGGACAAGTAACGGGAGCTCACCCCATTTATTTAGGTCAAGTAGCCCTAAATAAAACCTGGGTTAGTAGAAATCAGCCATACTGTAGCTTTATTTCCAGCCAGCTGCAAGGAACATCCTGGCTGGACTCAAAGTTATCTTATCAACCCACAGGGGACAGGACATTCTGCTACAGAGAGGCAAATATCTCCGGATTAACATTATGCACAATTTATTCAAGAGTTCTTTTGTCAGCCCATCTTGACCATAAGATATGACAGATCAATGCACAGAAATGCTGATTTCTCTGAACTTCCTTGCCCTAGCTCAGGGGTCAGCAACCTGTGGCTCTTTGGGCCCTCTATTGTGGCTCCCTGTCAGGTGATCCCACCACTGGCTGGCCCCGCCCCTCGCCCTTCCCTCCCAGTCACTCCTCACCTGGCCTGAGAAGGTAAGGGCGATGGTGGGGAATGGAGAAGCAGCCAGGGCAGAGACAGAGAGATACTGAGAGAGGGGGAGAGAAGGAGACATAGAGAGATACAGAGAGAGAGGGAGGGAGGGAGGGAAGGGAGAGAGAGATATGCCAAAAGGATTTTGTGGTTCCCGGTGTTTTTTAACTGGTTCTCTGCCCTAATGACCGGCTGGGTAGGCGTGGCTGGAGGTGTGTCATGTGACTGGTGGAAGTGAGTGACATCGAGTTGGCCACACCCAGCTAGGTTTTGTGGCTCCCAGTGTTTTCTTTTCTTTGGGAAAAGGGGCCAAATGGCTGTTTGAGTATTTAAGCTTGCAGACCCTTGCCCTAGCTCTAATGGGAAAACCAGGATTGGGGTGTTGGGGGGTAGGGGAACTTGTCATGCAGCAAGCCAGGTTTTCTTGCAGCTTCATCAGGAAAGCAACGTTCCCCCCCTCGCATCCAAATATATCTCCCTGTTACAGAAACTCAGAAAGATATATTAGGAACAAGTTGTACAGTAGTAAGTAAGCAGATGAGCGGTTCTATATCCATATTTAGGAATGCAGAGGACAGCTGGGTGTCTGCTTACGGAGAAACAGTCAATGCAAGAGTATCGTTTTCTGTAGCCGTTGCTATTGGCTGATTTAAGCCTTTGGGCAATGCTTATGCAGGTAAGACAACGCTTGCAAGGAAGCCTTTAATGATATATCCTTGGATTCCAGAGGAGAAGCCCAGCCTCCATGATATCTGTCTGGGGTTTCAGTAAATCCCACGGAGAAAATGTGACACTGCCTCAGTTATGGCCAGAGGGTCTTTGTAATCACTTAAAAGTAACCAGATCTCAAGACGATAGGAAATATTTGTTTTAAAATATTAAAATGAAGACATGGACTTCAACGGATAGTTAGAACTGCAGAAAAAACAATTGCTATCAACCTGCCTTCCATTGGGGACCTGTATACTGCACGAGTCAAAAAGAGGACTGTGAAAATATCTATAGAACCTTTGCATTCTAAACATGAATTGTTTCAACCTCAAAACAATGTTATAGGACACTGCACACCAGAACAACAAGACACAAGGACAGTTTTTCCCCGAATGCCATCACTCTGCTTAACAACTAATTCCCACAACACTGTCAAATAATTTACTAAGACTGTATTACTATTATTCTTCTCTTCCTTCCTAGTATCTATCTCTTCCCACTTATGGCTATATCCATGTTGCTTGTATCTTTACAACTTATATTGTTTTTTTTTGTTTCCTAGTATGATTTGACTGTTTATTAGTATCCTATGACTATCATTAAGTGTTGTATCTTATGATTCTTGATGAATATTTTTTATTTTTTCTTTATGTACTCTGAGAGCATATGCACCAAAGACAAATTCCTTGTGTGTCCAATCACACTTGGCCAATAAAGAATTCTATTCTATTCTATTACTGGAAAATACAAGGAAGCTGAGATCTTGTGTACAGGTTTTTCAATCTTTCTTTTGTTTCTACTGAAGTTCAGTTACTCCATGCAATTTATACTCTAGGTTTACCGGGAAAGCTCATTTCCTCTCATTTGTCACAGTTTAGCACAAGCAAGTAATTTATCTCTGGGACTGATCCTAGGAAGCAACCATCTCCTCTGCCATGCCATGCTATGCCATGCCATGCCACCAAGCATCTCCTTTGAGGAACTCCTGGTAGAACATAGGAGCCACCAAGTTTTCCAAACGTTGGAAATGAAAATCTCCAGCCAGTCCATCAACTCCAGTAGTAATGGGAGCCAAAAACAAGAAAGAGAAGGAAATTCCTGAAAGATTATTCATCAATATGTACATACCTCCAGTCATTCAGGTATTCTATGCATTCTCCTAAATAGTACCAATTATGCAGAGTTTAGAATGCCAGCATGTTCTTAAGCTGCTGGTGGCCTTCAGATATGGTGAACCTCAGCCCACCCACACATCCAATCCTCCAAAGCTGGAGGACCCCAGATTAGAGAAACTGTCACAGTCTTTCGTACTTGGGACCATAGGCAACCTATCTTCAAAGATGATTTCTCTAGTTCTAATCTCAGCACCTTCTCATGTTGTCATTCTGAGAAGATTCCGAAGGGCACCCATGCGGATGGCTTTTGCATCAGAGTCTTCGACTCATTATTCTTCGGTATTTAAAGTACTCATAAATCAGTCGTGGTAATGGGCATGAATGTGCATTCAATTGCTCTACACTATATTTAGGAAATGTATCTCCTATAACAGCCTCCTCCAAGGTGGCATCTCCAGAGGTATTGGGACTCCACCTCCCCAATTGCCTAGCTAGCATATCTCCAACTTTCTTTTAGAGGACAGAACAACAATCATTTTCTGTTTTGGATTCCAAATGTATTAGGAGAGCTGTAGAGAGCCCAGGACCACTGATTATTCAAAAGACCAGTGGTTGTTTCTGGAGCACCAACTCGGGGGGGGATCTGTTTTCTTCGCCAATGTTCAGAATTGGGGTCTTTTTCTGAATCTCAGATGCTTCCAAAGAAGAGAAAGGAATGGCTGTTGTGGCTGTATCTGCTTGGCAAGCTTTTCAAAAGCACCTGGTTGGCCACAGTTAATCTAGATCCATGATGGTGAACCTATGGCAGAGCCCTCTCTGTGGGCACGCACCATCGCCAGTTGCTCTTATGGTTTCTGGCATGTATGTGCACACCGGACAGCTGGTTTCTGTGGGTGCCAGAGCGCCGGAAAACAGCCTGTAAAATGGCACCAAAAATGGCCAAAACCCAGGCCGTTTTTCAGGCTGTTTTCACGCCATTTTCCCGGCTGTTTTTGGTTTCCGGTGCTCCAGCGTGCCCACATGCACACGTATTCTGGTATGGGCCCTTGGTGCCAAAAAAGGTTCACCATCACTGATCTAGATGGCTTCAGCAAGGCAACGTCTTCAGATCTACTTAATGACGGATGAAAACGCCCACCTCTGCGGCGAACGTTTCCAGGGGAACCCCGCGTGGCAGTTACTTACACGCCCAACACTTCCGACTGCATCGTTGCAAAACAAGTTGACGACATTTACCTACCCTCTAAGAAGTCCACCTTCGGAAGCCCTTCCGGTGAGACTTAACTTATGCAAATCGGCCATTTCTTTGAGCGTCTCTGCTGAATAGAGACCAATGGGATTGTTATATTGCCTGGCGGGGCTCAGCTGGTGCTTCGCTTTATTGCCATCAATAAAGACCATGCCAGTTTTCGAACCTAAGTCGGATTTTGCTGGCGAGAGGTCAGGGGTCACAGACTGAGAGGAGGACATGGAAGACCTAAAGCTGGCGCTCATTAAGAAGGAAGAGCTCTGGGACAGACTGGTCTCTTGTCTGCTGAGGTAGCCTGAATGGGCACCATTGCTGGCTAACATGCTATGCTTGGGGCCCACTGAGGTGCTATTTAGAAGACTGAAGCTCCCTCGGTCGCCACTGGTTGTCGAGACTGAATCCTGTAGAAGCAAATTTGCAAGCAAAGGAAGGAAGGGAGGGGGGAGAAAAAAGGAAGAAAGAAAGGAAAACGATCATAACATTCATGCAGAAAGGAAAAATTCCCAGCTCTGGCATTCTGCATAAAGCGGTAAGGTTGCCAACCATTTATTTAAGCAAAAAATATGCAGGTATTTTATATTTATGTAGAATCGATTGGCTCAGAAATCCAAACGGGGTAAATCCAGCGAGGAGGACCATTCCAAACAAAATCTGGAATATATTGCTGTTTATAGACAAGCAGAGGCAATCACTCGGTGCGGATATATTGTTTTACTGGTAGCACTGGTTGGCAACTTTACATACAGGTAGACCTCGACTTACAACACTTCAGGACTGAAAAAAAAAGTGACCTCTGATCCTTTTTCACACGTACGACCGCTGCAGCATCCCCACAGTCACGTGATCAAAATTCAGATGCTTGGCAACTGACTCGCATTTATGACGACAGCAAGATCCTGGGGTGACAGGATCTCCTTTTGCGGCCTTCTCACAACCAAAGTCAATGGGGAAAGCTGGATTAACTTAACCACTGCAGCAGTGGTGGGTTTCAAAATTTTTTACTACCGGTTCTGTGGGCGTGGCATTGTGTGGTGGGCGTGGCAGGGGAAGGATACTGCAAAATCTTCATTACCTCCCCACTCCAGGGGAAGGTTATTGCGAAATCCCCATATCCTCCCGATCAGCTGGGACTTGGGAGGCGGAGAATAGATGGGGGTGGGGCCAGTCAGCATTTTAACTACCGGTTCTCCGAACTACTCAAAATTTCCACTACCGGTTCTCCCGAACTGGTCAGAACCTGCTGAAACCCACCTCTGCACTGCAGTGATTCACTTAACAACTGTGGCAGGAAAAATCGTAAGCTGGGGCAAAACTCAACACATGTCTTGCTTAGCCACAGAAATTTGGGGCTCAAATGTGGTTGTAAGTCGAAGACTCACTGCATTAGGCATTGGCATCCAAACAAATAAGCAACTTCAATAGACTTGCATTAGTCAAGCACAAATATTAACGTTGCCTCTTCCCGAAGAGGAATGTTAATAAATCTCCTCCAAACAGCTGCTATTATTACTTATGTAACAGGTCGTCCAGTATGATTGCCAATTTCTTTTCCTGGACAGGACAGTGGAGGCTTCAAGAAATCGGGATGGCTGGGCAGCATTTGCATACATGACAATGCAATGAACGAGGAACGGAAGAGCAAACGTGTTTGTAGCTGGTCTCTGCATACAGTAGTGGCCAAAATTGTGGAAACCTTTTAGGAAAAGTGTATTTTTGAGGTTTGATGGCTAATAACACCACTTTTCTTTGGAGTTTCAAGATAATCCTGTTCCATTGCTGGAATGGCCTGGGAATAGCCCAGACCTTAACCCAAATGAAAATCTATGGAGCCGACTAAAGAAACTGGTTAGTCAGAAGTGACCCAGCAATAAAACCCAGTTAATAGAAGCCATCATTCAATCCTGGTTTCACATGATAACAGCTGCAGAACTAAAAGACTTGGTTCACTCCATGGAAGACGTTGTAAGGCTGTCATTCATGCTAAAGGTGACCCAACTAAGTATTAACTGACATGGGGATAGTTTTTGCATATCTCGTTTTTTCTATGTGTGTCACTTTTTTTCTTTATACTGTAACTGCTATTCTAACAGCAAATCCTTCCTAAAAGTTATTGCATTACATTCTTGATTAAATTATCTTTCCATTGATATATAATTTCATGGTACTACTCCAAATAAAAAGTGGTGCTATTAGCTAATTTTACAAAATACACTTTTCCCAAAAGATTTCCACAATTTTGGCCACTACTGTAATTAGTTTCAGCTATAAACGCTGCTGGCCAAGGCCATGAAATATGGTGAGCAGAATAGGCTGCGAAGAAGAAGCTATTAATAGATCCTGCCTAGGACATGGCTTTGACTCGAGCCAAAAAAAGAGGGTCATCTACACCGCAGGAATTTTGAGTCCGAGTCAGTAATTCTACCTTGGTTGCTCCCGATCTTTCTTTACCCCTTGGCCAAAGAGATAGAAACTATAATCAGATAGCCTCTTCACCTGGTCCCTATTCATGACGAAAAGTTTTCCAAGGGTGAATTCCACGCTGCCAACTTCCATGCTGCAGGAAGAATTCATGTTCAGAGCATCATCATCCTCAGAGTTGGAAGGGACCTTGGAGGTCTCCTAGTCCGACCGCTGCTCAAGCAGGAGAACCTATACCAGTGATGGCTAACCTTTTTGCCGTTGTGTGCCAAAAATGGGGGGTGGGGGGGTCGCGTGCACACACCTATAATTCTATGCTCCCTGCCCCCCTGTGCATGCACGCATGACCCCTCCATGCCCCCCCGCTTTTGGCACACAATGGCCTGATGGGCCTGGTAGGCCTTTTTTCTGCTCTCCCCAAGTTCCAGAGCCTCTCTAGGAGTCTGGGGAGGGCAAAAACGGCCTTCCCTCCTTCGGAGGCCCTCCGGAGGCTGGAAACAGCCCATTTGCCAACTTCCAGTCCCACCAGAAGTAGGCAAACAGGCCATTTCTGGCCTCCGGAGGGTCTCCGGGGGGGGAGAGGCCATTTTCGCCCTCCCCAGGCTCCTAGAGAGGCTCTGGAGCCTGGGGAGAGCAAAAAACAGGCCTACAAGGCCCACTGGAAGTCAGCAAACGTGCCATTTTCGGCTTCCGGAGGGCCTCGGAGGGGGGACGTTTTCACCCTCCCCAGGCTCCTAGAGAACCTTCATGGTTCACCCTTAGGCTTTTTCAACTTTGAAAGCTCATCACTTTAGGATAAAGATTTGAAACACAAGAAGGAGAAAGGGACTCATTCTTTGTCTTCCTCTGCTGCTAGTTTTGAAAGTCAGAAGTGAACTTATAGCTTCCTTGCTCCGATCAAGTTGTCAAGGAAAAGTTTTATTGACTCTTTTCTAGAGTTTTCATTAGAAATGCTGGTGTTAAATATAATCCCTATTCTCTTCCCAATATGCATTTTAATACTAAGATGGCTCTCTCCTTTTGCTTGGCCTTGTATTACCTTTTATTTATCGAATTACTTCAGTTATTTACTGAAGGATTTTTATCCCAACGATCAAGCAAAAAGATTCCCAGAAATGCCTAGCTAAGGGGCCAATCTATCTATCTATCTATATATCTAAATGGCTGTATGTGTGTGTGTGTGTGTTCCAGCATAACTCTAGAATGCCTTGGTCGCTGAAATGAAAAGGAATGAATTATATCTATAGTATCAAATCACAGTACTTTTGACAGTGATAAGTGCATTTTGGCTTCAAGTTCTGTTATGATACAACCTGTTGTGCCTTAAAATGGCTTCTACTGTACAGCACAGTAGAGTTGCCATGGTAACGGCTTCACAGTACTCCACAAGGGGGCTCCCTCTGGTAAGGGGGATTGGTTTTTTAAAAAAACAAAAAACAAACAAACGTCCTAGGCCCTCAGCTTCAAGCAAAGAGGGCAAGTTGTCGGTGGATGTGCCTGCTAATGCAGATAATCACCTCAAAGACTATTCCTTGTATTCATTATACAGAGTTAAAACCCTGTAAATAAGATTACTTTGATTTGACACTATAGACATAATTCATTCCTTTTCCTGTCTAATACAGGATTGGGATAAATAAATACCCGGGCAACGCTGGGTTTTCAGCTAGTATTAAATAAATGGATCCTCTTCAGGATTTAGATGAGAAAGGAAGAATCACATGATTCGAAACCCAAACAGAGATTGAGAATATACATTTCCCCATGCTCAATCTACATAGAGAGGACGAGTTAATTCATCATGCAAAATCAGTCCACGTTACCAACATTCAATGGCTATCAGATTAACTCAAACAGAGTTGAAAGGACTGTATTAATTTCAGCTTTCTAGCGAAGTTCCATCTGAGGGGATCCTTGATGCTCTCTGAGCTGGCTTGTTTTCTTGCAGATGTTTTATTACCCAGACGAGGTAACATCATTCCACCTTTTCTTCACTTGATATAATAGAAACAATCTGAGATATATTCTCATGGCTATTCCTCATATCTATTCCACTTACTCAAGGCGATCTTCTCTTTAAAAGAACATTCATTCTGCTAGGGTTTGCCAAAAAGGTCCCCAAAGTGATTTTTTCCAAAGGGCAACTGGACTTTCTTGTGTGTTTTTTTTCTTTGAAAATGTTTTGCTTCATCCAAGAAGCCTCTTCAGATCTAGGTTTCTTCCAGTTTTTCCATTAGAACTGAAGAAGCTTCTTGGATGAGGAACAAAAGGGTTTCAAAGGAGAAAAAAAAAACAAGGAAGTCAAAGGTGCTTTTTCCAAAGTATATGGGACAACCATGGAGAATCTCTATAGATAGTTTGCCAAAATATTGCGAATGGACATTGCAAGCTGTAAAGTCTCTGAGATATATTTAGAATAGACTAACAGAGTTGGAAGGGACCTTGGAGGTCTTCTAGTCCAACCCCCTGCTTAGGCAGGAAACCATACACCACTTCAGGCAAATGGTTATCCAACATCTTCTTAAAAACTTCCAGTGTTGGAGCATTTACAACTTCTGGAGGCAAGTTGTTCCACTGATTAATTGTTCTCACGGTCAGGAAATTTCTCCTTAGTTCTAAGTTGCTTCTCTCCTTGATGAGTTTCCACCCATTGTTTCTTGTCCTATCCTCAGATGCTTTGGAGAATAGCTTGACTCCTTCTTCTTTGTGGCAGCCCCTGAGATATTGGAACACTGATATTTAAGGAGAATTCACTCTCCTTAAATAGAGAACATAGAGTTTTCAACTTCTGCTATTTCGGTCCTTTACCCAGAAACGTATGGAAACAAGAAAAAGTTCAGCAATTCAACAGGCCCTGTGGTCCAACTGAAAAACTGAAGTCCCCTTCCCATACTACAACAGAGAGCATGAGTTTGTTTCCATAATTAACTTCTCTCTCTTTTTCTCCTTGAGTTCCTCCTCCTCCCAATATTAGAAGAAGGTACAGTAGATACAACAGCTAACAAAGAGATCCAGAACTCCAGAGGTCTTCAAACTTGGCAGCTTTAAGTCTTGTGGACTTCAACTCCCAGAATTCTCCAGCCATTGAGAGTTGAAGTCCACAAGTCTTAAAGCTGCCAAGTTTGAAGACCTCTGTGAAGACAAACGAGTGTATCTCTCAAAGATAGGCATTCTTTTGAAGTCTGAGGACACGTTATTGCAAATTAGGAGGAAGAGAGGAGATGGATGGCAATTCTGTCCATTTTGAAGGGCAAAGTAATTTTTGCTGTGTGACACATTACAATATTGTGACTATAATTTTCCTCCCACTCAAAGGTCAGTCTCTCTGTAGAAAACTTCTACATCCAGAAACGCAACGGAAACAAAGGAATCTATTCGACATCTACCTTTTGATGAGGGATCACGGGCATGGGAGAATCGATCCTCGGGGTGCTTGTTGGCATCGGAATTGGACGTTTTGATCTGGCAAGAATACAAGGAAAAAAAATGGTTATTGAGCAGCTGATGACTTTCTACATCTTTTAACCAATTTATTATAAACCGTTGCCGATATTGGCTTTAATCTTTGCATCCCCCTTCTAGTTTTCCTAATTAATCATCCATTTTCCCCCCTAAGCATGTGTGCTTAGATCCTTTGATCCACTCATCTCCTCCTTCCCAACAACACAGGAATTTCATAATTGCAACTAAGAAGAAAGAGTTCCATACAGGAGTGAAATCCAGCAGGTTCTGACAGGTTCTGAAGAACTGGTAGCGGAAATTTTGAGCAGTTCGGAGAACCGGCATATACCACCTCTGACTGTCCCTGTCCCTATCTATTCTCTGCCTCCCGAGTCCCAGCTGATTGGGAGGAAATGGGGATTTTGAAGTATCCTTCCCCTGGAGTGGGGAGGGAATGGAGATTTTACATTATCCTTCCCTGCCATGCCCACCAAGCCACGCCCACCAAGCCACACCATGCCCACCAAGCCACGCGCACAGAACCGGTAGTGAAAAAATTTGGATTTCACCACTGGTTCCATATAAGTACAAACAAATACATGAAGTCAGATCCTTAAATTGCAAGAAAATGAAGAGATGAGAAGGTGAAGTCTAAGGAATGATATTTCTTTAAATTCAATTATCTACAAGGCCATGGAGGAAACACAACTTCATTGGTTGAAAGAAATAACACACCAGGCCAATGTACATCATTATCTATTTCTTCTTTCCTTCTACTGGGTCATTATTGGGTTGCTCACCCAACAATTACCGGTACCTGCTTAATTTTACACTTAGACCGTGGGTGAAATCCAGCAGATTCTAACAGGTTCTGGAGAACTGGTAGCAGAAATTTTGAGTAGTTCGGAGAACCAGCAGATACCACCTCTGGCTGGCCCCAGAGTGGGGAGGGAATGGGGATTTTGCAATATCCTTCCCCCAGGAGTGGGGAGGGAATGGAGATTTTGCAATATCCTTCCTCCAGGAGTGGGGAGGGAATGGGGATTTTGCAGTATCCTTCCCCCAGGAGTGGGGAGGGAATGGAGATTTTGCAATATCCTTCCCCCAGGAGTGGGGAGGGAATGGAGATTTTGCAATATCCTTCCCCTGGAGTGGGGTGGGAATGGGGATTTTGTAATATCCTTCCCCTGCCACGCCCTCCAAGCCACGCCCACAGAACCGGTAGGGAAAAAAATTGGATTTCATCCCTGATTTAGACTTTCTAACTGTACTAAGCCAAACAGGCTAGGGCACAGAGACAAAACTCAACAATGCTACTCCTCAGAGGCTTCTCAATTCAAAATAAAATAAAATAATAGAGAAACTAGAGATGAAGAGTATATTAAGGTTGAATGAACATTGCAATATTTAACTTTCCTGGTTTACAGTCAGAATGTCCACAGGATAGAGTGAGTCTAAATGTTTCTTTGATTGTACCATTGCAACTGCTATTTTGACTGGTTTGCCCATTACTCTGTGGATACTCCTAGTTGGAGTTAAGGACTGGTGCTAAATTGAACCTCTTCTGATCCTGGGTTTTGAGCTGTAAAGGCAGGCAGCTTACATGATATGATCATGACATCAACCTGGTTTGTAGCACATGGCAATTTCTGTAAACTCTCTCTACACAGATGTTTAAATTAAAAAAAATAGTTGTCAAGCTTCAGAGAGTTCAGCTATGTAATTTGCAGCTTCTTGGCAAAGCCTTACTCCATTCTTCATTCTTCCCTTCCCTTTATTTCAAATGCTGCTGTCAATTAACCCGAAGAGGCAATTAATATTGTCCTCATATTCATAGATGGCATGCGAAAGAACAACTCGCTTGTAAATGCTTTGATGTCTGATTCCAGGGTTTTGCATTGTTCTCTCTTCTTACAAATAAAGAGGCTCACTTTAGAATTAAATTTGCACTTCCCGGGTTACATCTACTGTCTCTTCTTTCTGTGTCCACTAAGACACCCTTTGTCTCTCAGATGTAATGACGCAGATTTATTTATTTTATTTTTATTTTATTTTGAATTTGTATACCGCCCTTCTCCTGGAGGACTCAGGGCGGTGAACAGCCAAATAAAAACATCAAATACAAATATTAAAATACAGTTAAAAATATATATATAAATTTGGCCCCATTAATTAAAACGATAAACAAAACAATTAAAAACACTTAAAAAGAATTAGGCCAGCCCAGCTTGTTGGAAAAAGAAGGTTTTAAGGGCACGGCGGAAGGCACTGAGGTCATGGATTCTCCTTATCTCTGGGGGCATCTGACTTCAGAGGGTAGGTGGTAGATGCCACGGTTCCCCCAGTCTGGTGTGTATGTCATGCTAAACCATGGTTTGCTGAAGCATAAGTTAGTGAATAGAATGCCTGTTTTCCGAAACCATGGTTCTACAAAGAGTATAAGATGGATTGTAATAAGATGAGTGTATTTGCGGATATGTTTGAACACGGACACAGACCTAACCAAGCTCCAGGCTGACTAGAGCCATCAAACCAATATGATAACATTGACTTTCAGGTTCCATGTTCAGCCAAGCCACTTTTGAACTGAATCTTTGAATTGAATATCTGCACAGCCCATGCTGACCCAGGAAATGATTCTCACCACATGTTTGGTCAAACGCTTTTGAGAACCACCCAAGACACCTAGCACACTTTAACATGCATTCTCTTCAACAAGAAGAGTAGCTCAGTGTGCTGGCAAATCCATAGCAATGCAAAGGACAGTTACACAGACAGTATCCTCCTGCTGTTTAATCTCTGTTGGGTACCAATTGTGAATTTATCGGCCTTATCAAGGTTCCTCCACTGAACAAACTTATGCTTAAAGTTTGCAAAAAAAGAAAAAAAGATTTTAAAAAGCCAATGGTTTTGAATCAATTCCGGGGTGCTAGAATTAGAAAGAAATTACCGTATTTTTCAGAGTATAAGACGCACCTTTTTCCTCCCTAAAAGGGGGTGAGAATTTAGGTGCGTCTTATACACCGAATGTAGCCCCACCCACCTACTGGCCCCCACCCTTTGGCCTCTGCCTCCCAGCAGTTACCTCCTTGCAAGCAAACAGCAAGAAAAAACAGCTCCTTTCAGCTTCAGCACAGCCTAATTAGCACAAGTTGATTGGATCAGCCTCCCAACTCTCTACTGATTTGCTCTCTGCTGTTTTGTGCAGGGCTCTGCTGCTTGCTGCAAAGAGATAAATTGCTGGAGCAGATTTTTTTTCCCTTGTGCTAATCAAGCTACGCTGAAAATGAAAATGAAAGTAAAGCAGGCTGTTTGCTGCAAGGAGGCAAAATTGCTCAGAGACAGGGGGAGATTTCTTTTTCTTTTTTTTTCTCACCAAAAAAGGTAGGTGCATCTTGTACTCCGAAAAATATGGTATTTCTTACTCACTTCTCAGCTGACTTGAAGCATTTCCCCCCCCCCATCAAATTCTCACACTTATTCACTAACATGTGAATGATTAACAAGATTCCCCATCACAACAAGGAAATAACTGTTAAATAGCAGCAGTTGAAGAAAAGGACTCGATACAAAGTATAATATTAATGCTTTATTTAAGCTCCGTAACAGCAATGGCAACTCCAGCCGCAGCAGCCCTTTACAAGCAGGAGCTGTCCGCGGCTTCAGCCACTGACGTTCCTCTAAATTTCCCGCTCTCAGGATTAATTCCTGATTGGCTCATTTAAACTATCACTTAATACTCAACAATAACTTTTCAAAACTGTTACATCAAGAACTTCTTCATTTGCCAACTCATAAAGTAGTAAAAGTGGGATCAAAAAAAAAATCTAACAAATGACAAATAAGCAATTCTTTCCTTCCCTTATGAATCTGGATGCCATAATAGATCACAATTTATATTTTAGAAAGATGTGCTGAGCAAATGCATTAGATCTGAAAGAGCAGAGAGATTATCAGATACTGAATCTGTTGTTAAGCCAATCCGTTGAACATGGTCAATCTTTGTGGTTGATAATGGTTTGTTTATTTGTTTATTTATTGAATGTATATTGCCGCCTATTCGCCCATGGCAACTCAAGGCGGCTTACAGAATATAAGACCACATTTAATACATTTAAAACTAACAAAAAGAATCAAATAAATTAATATAGTACAATATAACAAAATCACCCCCCACCTCTCACCCCCCCACCCGAGCGATAGCAGATCACATGAGCCATTTATGGGCTCCGACCTACTCTGGGTTCCCCAGGCCCACTGGCAGAAGCAGGTCTTCAGTGCCTTCCGGAAGAGTGTCAGAGTGGGGGCCATTCTAATCTCTGGGGGAATGATGTTCCAGAGAGAGGGAGCCACCACGGAGGAGGCCCTTCTTCTGGGTCCCCCAGCATTCCCTGCCTCCCCGCTCTGATGGGTCGGGTAGATGTGACCGGCAAGAGACGGTCCCTCAGATAACCTGGTCCCAAGCCATGAAGGGCTTTAAAGGTGACAACCAGCACCTTGAATTGCACCCGGAAGCAAATCGGCAGCCAATGCAGCTCCCGCAGGAGAAGTGATACATGTGCACACCAGGGTCTGCACAAAATTCCTACATGAATGGTGGACCATGGAAGAATTTTTCCATGGTTTGAAAGCAGAACTAGGATTATTGCAGCTTTGCTACAGCTATTTCATCAATAACTCTTTTACAACTTCTTTAACATAAAAGTTGAGCCATGGTTGTGACGGAAACATCTTGCAAGCTTAATTGACGATTCCTTGACACTTTTGCACCCATGCATACACATTATTTTTTATTGGAAATACACTTTCAGATTTAAATGAGATATTTTACCATAGCTTAGCTCAATTTTGCAGAACAAGGATGACCTGTGTATTTAACAAAAAGAATCACACTTATTGCCCTTTCTTTTAATAGTTTTCTTAACAACTTAACAAGTAAATATATATATATATATGCTGTATAAATATTTGTATGCAATAAAAATGTATTGGCTCCAACAGGCCATGCAAAACAGAGATAATTCATGCTCATCCTTCTGTATTGATGTACTAACCACAAAAGAGAACTGTTCTCACAATCTAATAAGGCCACTTACGTCCAGGCAGTTGTAGTATTTTTGACCCAGCATGTTTAAAAGTCTTATAAGATAGATAAGACAATTGATCAGCGATAGGCAGAGTTGGCAAATTGTATGATACTTATCTTCTATTTATGGCAGCCTGATAGCTAAAGCCAGAAGATCTCCATCACTTCGATATCTTATATCGAATTATCTTATATCACTTCGATCACTTACTCTACCTGTGTCTGGTTTGCCAATTGCACAGTGGCAGATAGGTCAGTGCTCCAGAGGGTCAATGTCATTGCCCAGAGAATCACTGGTTGCCCCCTCCCATCTTTGGAAGAGCTTTATAGCTCCCGCTGCCTTAAGAAAGTTCAAAACATTCTTATCTCATCCTGGGCACCCTTTTTTTTTGAACTATTACCATCTGGCAGACGGTACAGAACAGTAAAAACAAGGACAAATAGGCTGAAAAACAGCTTTTATCCCAGAGCAGTAACTATATAGAATTCTACTGTATAGTGCAATATTAATACAATATCAGGGGTTTTCAATACAATTGGATTGAATGTGAAGGATGTGTGTTTTTATATGTATAATGTACTCTGAAGATGGCATTTAATTTCGTTGTACGAGGTGCAATGACAATAAAGTAAGCTAAAGTAAAGTAAACTAAACTGACTTCAGTGTAAATCCTAAGGGTGATAGTTCTGTATGTATTGTCATTATTTCATCTTTTTTTATACCTAATTTTAGTCCCATTTTTTCACTTTAACTACCAGCCTCATGAAACACTTTCCATTTAGCTTTGTAAGTTTCGGAGAGAAGGAAGGCCGAAGTCTAAACAAAGCACTACTTATTATTTCTATTTTCTACAAATGGTCCTACACTGAGAAGCATTATTGTAAAACAAGCAGGCCTGTAAAAACTTAGACAACCAGTAGATGGCAGGAAAGGAACATGTAGAAAACTGGCTTTGTTGCCTTCTAGTGGTTGTTTGGAATTTTGCAGCCCTAATCATTGGAAATGATTCTGCTTGAGGGCCTCAATTAACTATGCAGCTTTTCTTACTTTTAATCAATATTTATTTCTATATAAATTAGTATTAAAAAAAAACCTCACTCCCTATGCAAACAGTACAGCAATAGCTTTCGAAAAGCAAGATCATCTGGCTTATTGAGTTTTCAATTCAGCAAATCTGAGAAGCAAGCTAGGCCAATAAAAAGAAGTTCCAAATTCTATAGAAGCTACCATATTGTAAATAATCCCCATGAAACTGTCAGAGTCAGAATTGATAAAGGAAATGTCATTGCTGCAAGGAGCAATCCAGGAAAAGTATTTCTCTCTGGCAGTAGCAGAAGCCTACATTTTAGATCTCATAAAAGTGGACCTCATATTTCTCCATTTTTTTTTCCTATTCGGGGTGAAGGAGACCTTGTTGCAAAATACCCTTCACTGAATTTTTATGTGCTTTTTTTAATAGAGTCACCTCAATCTTCCTAAACTGAAAAAAAGAACACCAAAACACTAAAATAGTTGCATCTGATCTTCATTTGAACTGCTCTAGCTCTGTATTTAAGTCAGTTCTGGCCAGAACTTTTTTATTACCAGAAAATCTTGCTCAGGAATTTACTTTAGGAAGAAATAAAACAGCATCCCATCACTTGGAAGTTTTTTTTTTCTTGAGACACCAGAGATGGAGAACTTCAGACTTGAGGAGGCCAAAGAATCTTCTGAGCCAACCTGTCCAAATCCTTGAATTGGTCTCAGGCCAGCCTACTTCCTGCTGTCAGTGTGGCTCCACACAGCTTTGGATTTGGTTGTGTTCTTTGCTGAGATGTGGACATTCTGAATGGTGGAATGCAGACTTGGACCAAAAACGAATCTTCATTCTTATCAGGGGTGGGCTGCTGGGGATTCGCAAGGGTTCAGGAGAACCTGTAGCTAAGATTTGGTCCAGTTCGGAGAACCCCCAAATCCCACTCCTGGCTGGCCCCGCCCACCCCACCCCTCCCAGGAGTCCCCACGCAGCCTGTTTTGGATGCAGGTAAGTGCAGGGCGCATGCGGAGGCTTGGGGAGGGTTAAAAACGGGCCTACCAGAAGTTCAGGCCTGAAGGCTGGAAACGGGCCTGTTTCCGGCCTCCAGAGGGCCTCCGAAACCTGGGGAGGCTGTTTTCACCCTTCCGGAGGCTCAAGGAAAGCCTCCGGAGCCCAAGGAGGGCAAAAACTCCCCCTCTGTCATGATGCAGGAGGCCGACTAGGCCACGCCCATCATGGCCATGTCCACCCAGCAACTAGAGAACCCCTTTCTAAAATTTTTGAAGCCCATCCCTGATTCTTATTGATAAGGCTATACAAATCTGGACAGCCACTAGATCAGTGTTTCCCATCCTTAGCCGTTTTAAATGGTGTGGACTTCAACTGTCAGAATACCCCAAGAAGTCCACACCTCTTTAAAATGACTAAAGTGACATAGCACTGCACTAGACAGTGGCAAAGTAAAAACTTGGCTGGAATCTTCCGGCCATTTGAGTTTTTACAACTGAGATCTGTTTATTTATTTATTGGTTCGATTTATATTCCGCCCTTCTCCGGAGACTCAGGGCGGCTTATAATGCGTTAAGCAATAGCCTTCATACTTTTGTATGAAGTACAAAAGTACTAAGAAGAAGTACTAAGTACTGCTTAATAGGGCTTTCGCCCCCCCAACTGGTGTTCTTTTTTTTTTTTAATACAAAGTCAGCTTATTGCCCCCACAATCCGGGTCCTCATTTTACCTACCTCAGAAGGATGGAAGGCTGAGTCAACCTTGAGCCTGGTGAGATTTGAACTCGCAGTAATTGCAGGCAGCTGGTGCTATTTAACAGCACTTTAGTCTGCTGCGCCACCAAGGCTCTTTTGTTGTTGTTGTTGTTGTTGAACCTTTGAACCCATTTCCCCCAAGGACCAACCTCATTCTCCTATGCCAAAATTACAGTGCAAACCTTTACTAATAGACCAGTTCACTTCAGGGAAATGAAGACGGAAAGGTGCCTTTTAGATATCGTAAAAGAGGTATATTTCTGAGACGGTTGGTCAGCTTGCTTCTACACCAGTGGTGGGTTGCCCCTGGTTCGGACCAGTTCTATAGAACTGGTAGTAAAACTGGCTCCGCCCACTGACCCGGATGTCATCAAAAGCGATCTGCGCATGAGCAGAAGCTTCTGTGCATGCACAGAAGAGCCCGTGCATGAACACAATGCGAACCGGTAGTAAAGGTAAGTAGAACCCACCCCTGTTTTACACTGTATAGCAAAGGTAAAGGTTCCCCTTGCACATGCGTGCTAGTCATTCCCGACTCTAGGGGGCGGTACTCATCTCCATTTCAAAGCCGAAGAGCCAGCGCTGTCTGAAGATGTCTCTGTGGTCATGTGGCCGGCATGACTAAACACCAAAGATGCACAGAACGCTGTTACCTTCCCCCCCAAAGGTGGTTCCTATTTTTGTACTTGCATTTTTTTACGTGCTTTCAAACTGCTAGGTTGGCAGAAGCTGCGACAACAGGAGCTCACCCCATTATCCGGCACTAGGGATTCGAAATGCTGAACTGCCGAACTGCCGACCTTTCAATCGACAAGCTCAGTGTCTTATTTATTTATTTATTTAATTAATTAATTAATTAATTAATTAATTCAATTTGTATACCACCCTTCTCCTAGTGGACTCAGGGCGGTGCACAGCCAAAACTAAAACACATACCAATACAAAATTTAAATTTTTTAAAAAAGAATTTCATGACTTTGGCCCCAAAATTTGAAACATTCAAACTAAAACCCATTGACAATTTAAAAACTAAAAAAGCTAGAAAAAAAAAGGAGTGGGGTTCACGCCAACCCTGCTTGATGGAAAAGAAAAGTTTTTAGCCACAGCGAAAGATCTGGAGATCCGATATCCTTCGTATCTCCGGGGGCAAATTGTTCCAGAGGGCCGGAGCTGCCACAGAGAAGGTCCTCCCCCTGGGGGTCGCCAGCCGACATTACCTGGCTGACGGCACCCTGAGGAGTCCCTCTCTGTGGGAGCGTACTGGTCGGTGGGAGGCTATTGGCGGCAGAAGGCGGTCCCGCAAATACCCCGGCCCTAAGCCATGGAGCGCTTTAAAGGTGATGACCAACACCTTGAAGCGCACCCGGAAGACCACTGGAAGCCAATGCAGCTCACGCAAGAGAGGTGTCACATGGGAGCGCCCCCTCGCTCCCATAATCCCCCACGCAGCTGCATTCTGCACCAGTTGGAGCCTCCGGGTGCTCCTCAAGGGGAGCCCCATGTAGATAGCATTGCAGTAGTCCAGGCGGGAAGTGACGAGTGCCTGAGTGACAGTGTGTCTTAGCCACTGAGCCACTATGTCCCTTTTTCCACACTGTACAATGGAGCCCAAAATATCACAGGTGGAACCTTTAAACTATCTTGAAGCAGGAAGGCAAACAAGCATTGAATTCTTTTTATGGATAGTAACTTATCTCTGCATACTTTTGAAGAGTAAGATTCAGGTTGTAGTTTGCCGATTTGATCATATTCTGGGCCTCTAGGTGGGTCATGCCATCTGTGTTGACGCCGTCAATGGCTACCACCATATCCCCCTGGGTCATCTGAGACTGGGCTGCCTTGCTGCCAGGAGTGATCTGTAAAAGAAAGAAGAAGAAGAGAAGGTCAAGGATATATACTGGGGTGGGCTTCAAAAATTTTAGCAAGGGGTTCCTGCCCAGTTGTTGGGTGGGCATGGCCATGGTGGGCGTGGCCTAGTCAGCCTCCTGCACCACGGCAGGTGGGGCCTTTTTGCCCTCCCCAGGCTTCAGAGCCTTTCCCCGAGCCTCTGGGAGGGTGAAAATTGCCTCCCCAGGCTCCAGAGGGACGCTGAAAACGAGCTTGTTTCCAGCCTTCCTGAATTTCCTGTAGGCCCGTTTTTTGCCTTCTGTTAGATCAGGCGCAGGAAAAGAAGATGCGACCAGCATGGTCCATTCAATACTTTTATTGAGTATAGAATAAAACTGGCGGCTGCACTGCCGGAGCTCTCCTTTTAAGCGCTCCGGCAAGTCGCACCGCCCAGAGACAGCGGTTTGAATTTCCCGCCGGTGGATTAGCCAATCCCCGGCAGATGTCCTTATAAGGACATAACACCTTCTCCAAGCCTCTGTGTGCACCCTGCACTTACCTGCATCCAAAACAGGCCGTGTGGGGACTCCTGGGAGGGGCGGGGTGGGGTGGGAGGGGCCAGCCAGGAGTAGGATTTGGGGGTTCTCTGAACTGCACAGAATCTTAGCTAGAGGTTCTCCCAAACCTCTGCGAACCCCCAGCAGCGAACCCCTAGATATATACCACCCATCTCTGGATTCAGGTCATCTAGAGCAGAGGTCTCCAACCTTGGCAACTTTAAGCCTGGCGGATATCAACTCCCAGAATTCCCCAGCCAGCTTTGTCCACCAAGCCATGCCATGCCCACAAAACCAGTAGTTAAAAAAAATCGAATTTCACTACTGAATCAATGCCTGTTACAGTGAAAATCCATTTCATAATCCTACGTTTCTCAGTTCCTGCTAATAATTACGCATTTTGTAACTCTTAAACAGTATTAAACTGATGCTCATGTAAAAAGGAATGGAATAGTCACCATTTGTCTATTCCACATGTTCTTTACATTCATCGCTTTTCTAGTTTTTTGAAATAGGTGCGCAGTTCAGAGTCAAAGGATGTGTTTACGCTAGTGCATATGTTACAGTGTGCATAACTAAGAACTTCCGAAAACAAACAGGAACTGAGTTGGCAAGTGCAGATTTCATAGACAAAATCTATTTTGATGTCAGAGAACCACGACTCGTGAGTGGGACTTTGGTCCACCCTGACCAGTATGCTTAGAGTAGCTTATGCCAGATAGACTACCATGTAAGCTCACATAGGGCTGCTCTCCTCAGGGTTCCGACGGCAAGCCAATGTCGTCTGGCTGTGCCCAGGGGTAGGGCGTTCTCTGTGGGTGCTCCCACCCTCTGGAATGAGTTGCCTACTGAGCTCCGGACGGCTGCTGATCTCCGCTCCTTCCGTCGGGACCTGAAGACTTGGCTGTTCAAGCCAATAGGCTGACTCTGATTCTGGGTTTTATTATTTATTATTTATTAGTTAATTTGGTTTAAAATGGGATTTTGTTGTACATGTTTCTAACTTATGTTCGCCGCCCTGAGTCCTTCTGGAGAAGGGCGGCATATAAATACATGAAATAAATAAATAAAATAAATAAATAAACTGAATTCAATAAATGTCCATGCACCCACTGATAATTGCAGAGGAGAATTTCTGGGTGGATTATGCTTTGAAGAAAACTCATATTTCTATCAACAAGGGTTCCCTGAGAACCTGATCCTGAAGCCCTACCTAAGTAGCCAACCTCAGCCTCACTTAGTGACTCTCTGCTTGGAGAAACCCAGAAGATAGATGTACATAATTGAAGACATGGTGGCTACTTCATTCTCAGTGTTTCTTCACATGTCACCCTTGAATTCGGTGACAGACCAAATCACCTTGTGTTGTGGCCCGCCAGCGGCCAGTGGAGCTGGCGGCAGCCTTGGACAGTGAGGAGGTTGGGGAGGAACATGGGCCAGTCCTGGAATCTGGGGAAGGCTCTGATGAGGGCTCTGCGTCAGAGGCAGAGATGGCCATCCAGGGCCGTCCGACATTTATCAGCTGCCTTTGGAGTTGGAGATAAGTGGGGCAGAAGAACAGCTGGAGCCTGTTCCCGATGTGCTCATGTGCAGAGCTGCCAGGAGTCGGGAACAATTAAGGAACAGAGGTCGACTCAGGAGTAAAGGCACAAGGGGACGCTGAATGGCCCCTCCCATAGGGAATAAATAGGAGCAAAAAGGGAGTGGTGTTTGCAGGAGATAATTCGTTCGTTTATTAGTGTAAAGATTTGCTTATCTGAGTTCATGCCTCACAGAGACTCCTTGCCAAGTATTTCATTGTACAGCTGCTCCTGGAAGCTATCGGCCTGGCAACTATCCAAGGACTGATAAGGTCTGTTCTTGCAATTCACCCTTGAAAGACTGTTTGCTGGGACTTTGCTGGATGTGAATGCCAGCCAAATAGAAAGGGTTTTTTTCGGGACAAAGAGTCTGTTTCATGATTTGGTGAAGCCCTAGGTCAGAATACCTTCTATCTATTATACCTTATGCACTTTAACCTTCAGTTTCAAAGCTTTGCTCTCCCTTGCTTATGCTTGCACCAGTGGTGGGTTTCAAATTTTTTTACTACCGGTTCTGTGAGTGTGGCTTGGTGGGCATGGAATGGCTTGGTGGGCATGGCAGGGTAAGGATACTGTAAAATTATGGGAGCGACGGGGCGCTCCCATGTGACACCTCTCCTGTGCGAGCTGCACTGGCTTCCTGTGGTCTTCAGGGTGTGCTTCAAGGTGTTGGTGACCACCTTTAAAGCGTTCCATGGCTTAGGGCCGGGGTATTTATGAGACCGCCTTCTGCTGCCAATAGCCTCCCACCGGCCAGTACGCTCCCACAGAGAGGGACTCCTCAGGGTGCCGTCAGCCAGACAATGTCGGCTGGTGACCCCCAGGGGGAGGGCCTTCTCTGTGGCAGCACCTGCCCTCTGGAACGACCTACCCCCAGAGATACGCACGATACCAGACCTCCGGACTTTTCATCGGGCCCTGAAGACACACTTGTTCCATCTAGCTGGGCTGGCTTGATCCCATCCCTTCGATTTTAATTTGTAATTGGTTTTAACCCGGGTTGTTTTAATTGAATAGCCAAATTATTTAATGTTTTTAAATTGCTTTTAAATTTTATATGTTATGTTTTACCATGGCTGTTCACCGCCCTGAGTCCTGTTGGAGAAGGGCGGTATACAAATAAATAAATAAATAAATAAATAAATAAATAAATAAATAAATAAATAAATAAATAAATAAATAAAATCTCCATTCCCTCCCCATTCCAGGGAAAAGTTACTGCAAAATCCCCATTTCCTCCTGATCAGCTGGGACTCTAGAGGCAGAGAATAGATGGGGGCGGGGCCAGTCAGAGGTGGTATTTACCGGTTCTCCGAACTACTCAAAATTTCCGCTACTGGTTCTCCAGAACTGGTCAGAACCTGCTGAAACCCATCTCTGACTTGCACACATTTCTGTACACACGGAGACACTTGTGTTGAATGGCAGGGTCTCTGTACCCAAAAGATTTTGCGGGGGGAGGAGTGGAGAGAAACAAGGATGGTGACTGTGATTAAAGACCCTTCTCCTTTTTACGTGTGTCTCATACGTGATGCATATGAAAAGAGGCAGGACTTCGTAATCAAGCGAGTCGGTAAATATTATTATTTATTATTATTATTTATTAATTCAATTTGTATGCCGCCCCTCTCCGAAGACTCAGGGCGGCTCACAATGCATTTAAAATCATTATAAAAAACATTTAAGAATTAAAAACATTAAAAACAATTAAAACCCATTCACACCATTCATGGTCGGATCTCGCCGGATCGCAAGAGCGAGATCAATGGCCCCAGGCCTGCCGGAAAAGCCAGGTCTTCACCGCTTTTCGGAAGGCCAATAGGGTGGGGATGGTCCAGACCTCAGGAGGTAACTGGTTCCAGAGAGCAGGGCAGCCACAGAGAAGGCCCTCCCCCGCGGGCCCTCCAGCCAGCATTGTTTCGCTGACGGGACCTGGAGGAGACCGACTGTGTGGGATCTTACCGGTCATTGAGAGCTATGCGGTAGAAGGCGGTCTTGAAGATAGCCTGGCCCTGAGCCATGTAAGGCTTTAAAGGTAATAACCAACACCTTGAATTGTGACCGGAGACCAATAGGGAGCCAGTGCAGCTCGTGGAGAATTGGTGTAATGTGGGTGTACTTAGGTGCACCCACAACAGCTCGCGTGGCTATCCCTTTGATAAGACTCTTGACATACGTAAAAAGGAGGTGGGGTTTGGATCACATGGTTGTGGCTTCCAATTGAACATTTTTGGTCACTTTCTGTGGCAATCCCTGAACATGCCTTAGTTGTGTTGAACGAGCCAACAGAGGAAGCCAATTTGTCTAACAATGCAGATCGCTTCCTGTTGAAATATGTTCCTCTGTTTAAATAATCAAACACGTCCATGCATAACCCAGTTGGATCTTGATACTTAATGAAAAGCTACGCAAATACATCATCCAGGTCACCCAACTTTGAGATGGGGATGAAAAGACCAGATTAAATTGAGACAAATGGCAACTTCAGAATATTGCTGGAAGGAGCAATCTAATTAGGGTTCAGCTGTCTACATTTGGCTTCTGGCCGAGACAAACCCACACGCTCTTCTCAGCAATGGTGCAAGAGTGGTTTTCCATCACCTTCAGTTTCATTTTGTGTCTTAACTTCTCCATCTAACCTACAGCCCTAGTAAAGTCTGCAAAAGTTCATAAATCTAACCAGAAATGGTATTCGGGAGTCATATTTTCTGTGGTCAAAATTGGGCTCATCTAACACAACTCCTCAAACATAAAAAGTTCTCCTGGCTTCATAGCTGTGATTACTTATCAAGCAGAAGCAGTGATGTGTGAGCATAACTCACACAGGCGCTTTAAAAAAAAGGAGAGAGCTTTCTCTCCCTCTAAGGATATATATTGCGCCCATCTTGGGAACATTGCTGTTTATCTTGTCAGAATAATGTTAACTATTCCAACTTGCTGATGTATTCAAATTCAGGAAAGCTAATGCGGGCTCATTCACAGCTGCTCGTACTTATCAGGGATGAAGATGCATTGCTGAACCTTTTGAGAGAAGGAGGAGGAGGAGGGGGAAGAGGAGGAGGAGGAGGAGGAGGAGGAGAAGAAGAAGAAGAAGAAGAAGAAGAAGAAGAAGAAGAAGAAGAAGAGAAGAAGAAGAAGAAGAAGAAGAAGAAGAAGAAGAAGAAGAAGAAGAAGAAGAAGAAGAAGAAGGAGAATCACATGGACTTCAATATAGATAATTGACTAATCAAAGTTATGACTGACTTTCAGACCCCTGAAAGCTACTTACAGCCTGGTTCCAAAATTCCAACAACTCCCTCCCCCATTCAGATTAACAGAGTTAGAAGGGACTTTATAGGTCATCTAGTCCAACTCCCCCGCTCAAGCAGGAGACCCAACACCATTTCTGACAAATGGCAGTCCAATCTCTTCTTGCAAGTCTCAAGTGATGAAGCTCCCATCCATAACACCACACACATGTAGAACTTACAGTCCACTGTAAAAATTGTGCCTTTTCATTCACCTAATTTTTGTGATGATTCCTCCTATGAAACTGGAAGAAGACAAAATAAAGATGAGAAGCTGCACCCTCCTTGGCCATACCCATGAATCGACCCCAAAGGATGCAAAATAGGACTATTTTTCAGGCATATCTGCAGAACAAATATTGTATTGTAGTTGTGGTGAGTTACTAATCTCTTTTCAGGAGGAATCTCTGCAAATCTCTATTTTATAATCACAATCCTCCCCAACTTCCTTCTATAGGGATAAGGAACTTCTATAAGTTCCTTATATGCACATTCTAAATATAGATTTCCAAACTCTTAAGGGGAAAAAAAACATCTTGTAGTACAGTGATTTTCATGTCTTTATCTCTTCCTGGGCGGCTGTAGGCTCTGAAACTATTGGTGTAAGACGTGTCTGACACATATCACACTCAACAGCTCCTGAATGGAATTATTCATCATAATTCCTGCTTGTGTAGGAGGTTCCATTAAGAGTGTAACAGATTAACAGAGTTGGAGGGGACCTTATAGGTCATCTAATCCAGGGGTCTCCAACCTTGGCAAGTTTAAGACTTGTGGACTTCAGCTGAGGAATTCTGGGAGTTGACGTCCACAAGTCTTAAACTTGCCAAGGTTGGAGACCCTTGATCTAGTCCAATTCAGATGGTGCTCAGATGGGTTTTTCTCAGGGATGGGTTCTACTTATCTTTACAACTGGTTCGCATGCACAGAAGCGTTTTGATGACGTCGGGGTCGGTGGGCGGAGCCTCCTGCCTGTTTTACTACCGGTTCTATAGAACCAGTGCGAACCGGGGGCAACCCACCACTGGTTATTCTTCAATCTAGATGGCAAAACTCCTGATGGTCACTACATGGCACAAAAGCATTAGAGGGTCTTGAGCAGGGGTGAAATGTAAAATGTGTTACTACCGGTTCTGTGGGCGTGGCTTGGTGGGAGGGTGTAATGTGACTGGGTAGCGATGGCGGCGGATGGTTCGGAGAACCAGTAGCAAAAATCCCTGTGCCCCCCCACCATGCTCAGCTGAGTCGCACGATCATCAGAGGCTTTTTTTTTTAACTTTTCAAAGCATTTTTTCTAATGCTTTGAAAAGCCTCTGGCAATCAGGCAACACAGCTGGGATCGTCAGAGACAAAGCATTTTTTTTTACCACCTCTTTGGCCAAGAGGTTGCAGGAAAAAAATGCTTTGAAAAGCCTCTGAAGATCCCAGCTGAGCCGTGCGATCATCAGAGGCTTTTTTTTTTAACTTTTCAAAGCATTTTTTCTAATGCTTTGAAAAGCCTCTGGCAATCAGGCAACACAGCTGGGATCGTCAGAGAGGCTTTTTAAAAAATGCTTTGAAAAGCCTCTCTGCCGATCAGGCAACTCAGCTGGGATCGTCAGAGACAAAGCATTTTTTTTACCACCTCTTTGGCCAAGAGGTTGCAGAAAAAAAATGCTTTGAAAAGCCTCTGAGGATCCCAGCTGAGCCACGCGATCATCAGAGGCTTTTTTTTTAACTTTTAAAAGCATTTTTTCGACAGAAGAGGTTGTAGAAAAAATGCTTTTAAAAGTAAAAAAAAAAAGCCTCTGATGATCGTGCGACTCAGCTGAGCATGGGGGGGGGGGGGCACAGGGATTTTTGCTACTGGTTCTCCGAACCATCCGCCGCCATCGCTACCGGATCGGGCGATCCGGTCCGAACCGGGAGCATTTCACCCCTGGTCTTGAGGCCCAAACAGTCACAGTCAATCATCCATGATGATGCTTAGTTTGGGGCAAGGAGGATGGTGGCCAAAATGACAATGGGTGAGCATTGCACTATCCAGTGCGGCATTATTGTGCAGAGTGCAACATCGGCAAATACAACGACAGAGAAGAAGCTAGGTCTTGATCTTAGCTTGGCCCTAGGCCTTATCTTTATTGTTGGCCTAAATTGCAGCCAAGAACGAATTTGTGAAAGTAAAAAAAAAAAAAGAATTGACTTGGTTCAAAGAGAAAAACATCATCTCATCTATCCCAAGCTTCATGCTGGAAAGAACAGCAGGTTAGAAATAAATCCTATTAAAGGTAGATGTATTTCAACTAGTTGGTAATTGAGAAATCTAGGCAATTTTTTTTTTTTTTTGAGATTCCACAAGACAATCTCCAAGTAAATAATAGTCTTCCCCATCTCGCCTCCCTTAAATTGTTTCAGGGTCCCTGGGACATTGCGATGACTTCTCGGTATTTTGACAAAATCCACCAGAGCTGAAACATCCAGAAAAGAGATTAACGCTGGACAGAAAAGCAAACTGAAGGGTGGCTGAAGAGAACACACTTTGAGCAAAGGGTATATGCTTCCAGAACAGAGCCTCCTCTTAAACACTGAAGAATAACTTACTAAAATTAGACGCTAATTGATTTCCACTATCTGTTTCCAAGGAAGCCCGAAGCACGTGATTGGGACCAGCACATAGAATACTTGGATAATCAACAGTACGCGACGTTTCCAAGCACTGTGACAGATAAGGCAGTGCCAGTTCAGTTGTATTGGGGGGTGGCGGTGGGGGAGGGGGGATTGTGGAGGATGGGACAACACACTCGTGTTCCAATCTAGAAGCAAAACCTTCTGGAAGTAACCGGCTCTCTATCAGCTAATCTGCAATCTACCATCTGAGACTGAAGGTGGGCCCGGATGGCTCCTAAAATGAATTACTTGCTGCTACTAAAATGAAATGTGTACAGGTAAGCTGCACCATTTCAGACTGCAGATGTCAGTTTGTGGAGTTGGATACTCCCCTGTATGGGAAACATTTGCAAAATGGGCACTCGTAAAATGGAAATTGCTGGCTGGTTACTACATATTGTGATATTGTATTCCTCTGACAACTCAGTCAAGGGCGGGCTTCAAAAATTTCAGCAACGGGTTCTCTGCCTGATCTCTGGGTGGACGTGGCCATGGTGGGCGTGGCCTAGTCAGCCTCCTGCACAACGGGTGGGGGGAGGGGCTGTTTTCGCCTTTCCCAGGCTCCGGAGGCTTTTCTCAAGCCTTTCGGAGGGTGAAAACTGCCTCCCCTGGGCTCTGGAGGCCCTACGGAGACTGGAAACAGGCCTTTTTTCGGACTTTAGGAACTTCCGGGAGGCCCGTTTTTCCTCCTCCATGCGTGCCCTGCACTTACTTCACATCCAAAATGGGCTGTGTGGAGACTCCTGATAGGGGTGGGGTGGGAGGGGCCTTCCAGGGGTGGGATTTGGAAGTTCTCCGAACCAGCCATAATATTAGCTACGGGTTCTCCCGAACCTGGACGAACCCATAGCAGCCCACCCCTGAATTCAGTAAAAAATCAAAGCTGGTTGCCTGTTCATTAGCAAATATGGAGTATCTGTCCTCAGATACCTTGAACCACATAGCAAAGAGATCTGTAGCTGGAAAAGGAACTGCTCCTAGTTTTCCTTTCATATCATGTATGTGAAAGTGTAAGACTTTCAACATCTCATTTTGTCCTTTATGAAATGTTCCAAAATGTCATCATTTATCATGATGACTATACCGGAAAACATTTCAATCAAACTCCATGAGAGATCAGTTGCCAATATATTTATTGAATATGCATTGAGACTTTTTTTGCAGTGATTACGTTCAGCTTTTATCTTAGTTCACCGGAGAAAGCAATTATGGTTTGGAAGAGTTAGTGTTAAAAGGAAACCAGGCCACCAAAGAACATGATGGCTGGGCACCATCAAAGCAAAGAACTCAACTCGAAGAAGCTGTGCAAGATCGGAAGATATGCAGAGACCTGGCCCATAGAACCCACTTGATCAAGTCAGACATGACGGAATGGATAACCTCATCATCACCATTAAACTTGGCAGAAGTCCAGTGAAGTCCAGCAAACTTAGCAGAAGTCCATTTTCATGTCAGTACTTATCAGTCAATTACTCAGTTTATGTAATACATTAAACTCTATCATGGTTTGCTTAAACTTGGCTTAGTATGTTGTGTGAAGCTAAGCCATTGTTGCAGGCTATGGTTTATGGCTCAGTTTAGACAAACCTTTGTGATTTATTAGGCAAATGATGGCTTAAAGCCATGTTGCATCTGGCTGTTGGCCACAAGTAACTGTTTACCAAAGTATTCCAGACAGAGCTTCTATATTTTCTAGCCAAAAGAGAAGGATTTTACCACAGGAGCCTGGTGGTGCAGTGGACTAAACTACTGTTAAAGTAGTATTTAACTGCCAGCTGCCTGCAATTACTGCGAGTTCACTTCTCACCAGGCTCAAGGTTGACTCAGCCTTCCATCCTTCCGAGGTAGGTAAAATGAGGACCCGGTTTGTGGGGGCAATAAACTGACTTTGTTTAAAAAAGAACACCGCTTAGGGGGGGGTCGAAAGCCCTACTAAGCAGGTATATACAAAAGTAGGAAGGCTATTGCTTAAAAGCATTGTAAGCCGCCCTGAGTCTCCGGAGAATGGCGGCATATAAATCAAACTAATAAATGAATGAATGAATGAATGAATGAATGAATGAATGAATGAATGAATAAATAAATAAATAAATAAATAAATAAATAAATAAATAAATAAATAAATAAATTCTTGGTGCAAGTTGGTGGCCATCAGCTAGCAGGAATGATCAAGTCTCCATGTATTTTATCTTTCCCCCTTATTTTTAATTTTGGAGAACATTTAAAAAAACGTTGTGAAGGAGACAACAAGGTCCGCAGCCTTCACAAATGTCACAGCGAAGCGAGTTTTTGCATATTTTTAAAAAAAATTGACCTGAAACCAGCAACTATGAAATGCATGATAAAAAAGATCACTTGCAGCCAACGAAATCTGAACTTTTACTAAGCTTCTTTTGTCTTCCATTTTCTGCCAGCTCCATTAGAATTATTTTTTTTTAAAAAAAATCTCTTCTTCTTTTCAAAATCACGTTTCAAAGAGACACGTAAATCAGGATTGCAGGAGCTACCCAAGATAAACACTGCACAAAACTCAAATCTTTTCCTATTGTGTTTCCGATTACTGGTTAAGCTGAAGTTTTCATTGTTCTAATTTCTTCCCTTTGAGGATTGTGCTGGATAGAATTAAATGGATTCCCTTTCCCTAGCTTATTTGGGATAAAACAGATTATGGAAAAGAACTTTGGGTCTCCATATATACATGCAGCTTTAAAATTTCAGCACTTTTCACTCATTCAGCACACCCAAGTTTGAAAAATCACATCTATGAAGACATTCAAGATAATAGGAAAAGTCTTAATGTCATCCTTGTTGACCTGAGATCACTTTTTGTCCTCTGCAACTTAAAAAAAAGGATTGATTCTGAGGATCAATCTGACTAAGTTGATTGCTGAAATAATAAATAATTAGAAAGTTTATTTCTCATTATACACTTATACGTGCTGTGTGAGGATATCGCATGCTGTTCCATGCATCCGTTTAGAATATTTAATCCCTGCAGTGCAGGTGGATGCCACGCAGTAATAAGCATGTTCCCCCAATGTTGTGGTGGATCATCACCTTTGTCCTTGATGCGACTATCTTATCTGCTGGCCCTTTGACCAAAACACCGGTTGTTGTTTTTCTAAGCAGTAATATGGTGGCTGGCTGCTTCGGGAGAATAGATCTTCCCTTCCTGCTAAGCAGCATCTCTTAAATTTTATAGTGCAATTTTGCAAATGGTCAGAAAGGGGTCTGTATTTACTTGGACCTTCTCTGCTTGCATTCTTAGGTGTTCTTTTTCTATCTAGGGGTGGAATTGAAAAATTTTAGCAACCGGTTCTCTAGCTGGTTGCTGGGTGGACGTCGCCATGGGGGCATGGCCTACTCGGCCTCCTGCACCACGGCAGGGGATGGGGCGTTTTTGCCCTACCCAGGCTCCGGAGGCTTTTCTTGAGCCTCCGGGAGGGTGAAAACGGCCTCCCCCGGGCTCTGGAAGCCCTCCAGACCCGTTTCTGGACTTCCGGTACTTCTGGTAGGCCCATTTTTTGCCCTCCAAGAGCCCCTGCATGGGTCCTGCACTTACCTCGCATGCAAAATGGGCTGCATGGAGAGTCCTGGGAGGGGAGGGGTGGGCGGGGCCAGCCAGTCCTTGCAACTACCAGTTTGGCAAACCAGATGTAAATTAGCATCCGGTTTGCTTGAACCGACTGAATCCCATCCCTGGTTCTGCCATGTGGGACTGGGTTAATCCCCCTGGGAGCATGCACTTAATTCTTCTCAGTGATCTATACTTTCATGCCTGCAATGGGGCAAGGGGACTAACACATCATGCTATGCACCAACCTGAAGAACAGGGGCCCAGAATATTTGAGTCCCTCAATTCTGCATACAGAATTCAACCTGTCTGCTGTTTGTTGCTTCCCACAATAGACGTTGAATGCAACGTCGGTGCCACCAGCATCCACGGTGGGAACAGAGCGAGAGACACATGCACACAGTATAGATAGTCCTCGACTTATGATCACGATGGATTTATGCTAAGTTGCTAAGCGAGACATTTGTTAAGTGAATTTTGCGACCTTTCTTACACAGTTGTTAAGTGAGTTACTGCAGGTATTAGTAACACCGTTCTTAAGTGAATTCGGCCTTCCCCGTTGACTTTGCTTGTCAGAAGGTTGCAAAAAGAGATCGCATGACCCCAAGACACGGCAACTGTCATAATTACAAACCAGTTGCCAAGCGGCTGAATTTTTATTATGTGACCGTGGGGAAGCTGCAATGGTCATAAGTGTGAAAAATGGTCATAAGTTACTTTTTTCAGGACCGTTGTAATTTTGAATGGTCACTAAATGAACTGTTGAGGAAAGATGACGAGTATAGATAGGAATAGCTATCTCTCTTTCTGCTCTCTTGGCCATAGACCTTTCCTAATGTGGAGAGAGCTGGCTAACAACTCAGACTAGGAACAAGTCAGTCTTGTCCCGACTTGGGTCAGCTCAGAAAAATGAAGGAAACCATATATGGTCCTAGGAACAGGCATGAAGTGTAGTGGCTCCTGTCCTTCTATTCCTCTTCCATCCAAGGAATCCACCCAGGGGGGATGGACTGGTTCAGGCGAACCGGATGCTAATTTTACATCTGGTTCGCCGAACCGGTAGTTGCAAGGAATGGCTGGCCCAGCCCGCCCTGCCCCGCCCCTCTCATGAGTCTCCAAGTGGCCTGTTTGGGATGCCATGTAAGTGCAGGGCCTGCACAGAGCCTGGGGAGGGCGAAAAACGAGCCTCCCAGAAGGTTCAGAAGTCCAGAAACAGGCCCATTTCTGGCCTCCGGAGCCCAGGGGAGGCTGTTTTCGCCCTATTGAAGAAAGGCTCCAGAGCCTGGGGAGGGCAAAAAACAGGCCTCCCAGACGTTACAGAAGTCCAGAAACGGGTGCGTTTCTGGCCACTGGGGGGCCTCCAGATCCCGGGAGGTGTTTTTGCCCTCCCGGAGGCTCGAAGAAAGCCTCCGGAGCTTGGGGAGGGTGAAAACGCCCCCCCATGCCATGGTGCAGGAGGCCAAGTAGGCCACACCCACCATGGCCACACCCACCCAACAACCGGGCAGAGAACAGGTTACTAAAATTTTTTAATCCCACCCCTGAATCCACCTCACTCCATTCATCTTCAGCCTGAAAGAAATTTTCTGCCATGCTTCCGCTTTGGTCATCCAGTCAAAGTGTGGGATTCAGTCAAGAAAGGACAGCAACATTCTTGACCTGGGAGGGGACAAAGCTGCTAGTCTCTTGACTGGAGACTTTTTAGTGCCAGTAGAGGAGAATCTTTGTAGCTCAGGACTGAAATGAAAGGTCCTTGGTGGTCTCTGAGGTTTTCTTCCAGATGTTTCATGACCCAAACTAGATGATGTCACCTAGTCTGGATAATGAAATGTCTGCAAGAACACAACCAAGCTCAGAGACCACCAAGCACCGGGGTGAAATGCTACCGGTTCGGACTGGTTCGACCGAACCTGTAGCGGCAGCAGCACGAGGCTCTGCCCACCCACTCAGATGTTGTTACTTCCTGGTTTTAACCAGGAAGTAACCTGTTTTACCCTCTGTGCATGTGCAGAAGGCTTTGCGCATGCGTAGAGGGTCCAAAATCACATGTGACGCGTGGAGTGCGCACTTCCAAACCGGTAGGGAAAGTAAGTATAGATTTCACCCCTGCCAAGCACCCCTCACTTCTCAGTGCACCCTTCAACACTGCTGCCTTCCCATCATCCTGGAACAATCGGCAAAGAGATGGGTGAGGTCTACCAATAGCAACTGTCCTTCAGAAAATGTCTCCGAGTGTCCTGAAGCTCAATTGAAGACATGCCCTGATGCTATACCGTTTCCTATCCAGAGCTGAAAATCCAGAAGGGGCAATCAAAGCAGCATAAATTAAAGGATTGGGTTGGGTTTTGCAGTGCCCAGCTACAGGATGGGAAACCCCGTGCCAACTTTGAAATGGATGTTCCCCCAAACACATCTTGGAAGCTGTTAGCAAAGATAGTCTTAAAGTCTCTTGATTGCTAACGGCACTTCTGGACATTCATATTAGAGACATTGCTGCAGCCCAGCACATTTCTGGGTTGATCCTGGTAATTGTCAAGAATTGTCTTTTCTCCTTTATTAGCCCCGTGAAGAAGCTAAGGAGAAAGCTGGCATCTGGAAAGGGTGAAATGCACCAATTGAGGTGTACATTGTTATTCAAAGTGTAATTCAAGAGATAGGCTGGCTACTCTCCAGTATTAACTATGTCAGAGATTCCCCCTCTTTAATATAAAAGCTTTTTAATTTGCAACTGCTTTTTAAAAATCTGGCTGCACTCCTAGATTTAAAAAAGCCTGAATTTTTGGAGACAAAGCCAGTCTTTATAATGCAAGAGAAAGAGACATGCATTAGAATCCATTTAAGAGCAGAGGAAAAGATAGAAATGGATAGCCCTAATCCTTTTAAATTAGATTAATGGAGGTGGGTTGTTTTTTTTTTTTTACAAATTATATTGCAGATTTCAT